ACTGCAAATTAACTACAGCAAATTTGGCAAGTGACAAAACATAAAGCAGCAAAAAAGCAGCAAGGTTTCATCCAACAGCAGAGAAACTAGGTGTGCAGCTACTGATGAACATCACGGAGCATCTGACATTTTCAAGGCATTAGAGCAAAAAGACAGACCGTGTTTCTCTGCCTCTGCAGTGCACATAATGGTATTTATGAAGAGAAACCTGTGAAAAATGTGACACTACAATTCCCATCAGCTCAAGTGTTTGAAAAAACTTTTCTGTTACAAACACAAACACTGCTGTTAAATATAGATGTGGTGCAAACAAACAGGAGCTGTCAGATTATCACATCAACCTGGAAGTTCTTCCAAATGATCCACTACCTTAGTCATAGAAAATAAGGCCTGGTCTCTACAACGATCCCTGTCTGCTCTGGAAACGCGTGGGAACAGATAAACACACGGTGTGTGTGTGTGTGTGTTTGAGACTCTCCTGTTCTATTCATCAATGCTGGTACCAGAAAAGATGGTGCACTTAAATGACAACAACTGGCAGATTCCTGAATGAGTGGAAAAAGAGAATTATTTGGTCAAAGATAATGACTAATATTTTTGAATTAGTTTTAGTTTGGCTTCTGTACATGTTAACAGCATATTAAGAAAAACAATCCAGGCCAAATGTTTCCTATTCTTCATCTGATTAATCACAGGCTAACTGTGGATTCATCATGGCTTAGGATCATTCATTTTGGTAAAACGGGAATAATCAGCATTCCTTAATATCAGATATTTAGGTAATCCACAGTGTGTTAGAGCAACGTCAAGTGGATTCACAAGGATTAAAAACAGATCTAATGAAGGCGTTGATTTGGACAGATGTGGTGTCGACACTTGGTTAGAATAAGATTCTTCTGCGGCCACTGACGTCACTGCAGCTCCGTTCTTTGTTGATTGGACTTTGAGGGTGAACCTCCTGATCCTCCCCTGGTGTCACACTGTTGTATGTAAGTGTTTTTCACTGGGGACCAGGCTAGCAGAGGTGCGTCTGCCTTCATCGGTACACAGGTGAGCTCCGAGGCTCTGCGTTGTCTGGACAACATATTCGACTTGTGCTCCCCTGTGTGGCAACTGCAAAACACACACCTACACAAGCGTGTGCCTCCGAAGTGAGCAGCAGCCTCAAAGAGTCTGGTCTAAAAGTGCAACAGCCCTTATTACACAGGCCAGATGACAGGCCGCCGATTTCACTGCCTTTAAAGTTCACTCAACATGTGAATTTATGCAGAAGCTGCCTGAACATTTCCAGCTGTCATTTGCAAACATTCCAAATTGCATGTGACTTCTGCTAAACAGCGGCGGCGCTTTGTGCTCCACGTGTTGCTAGGTAACAATGGTGGAAAGCTGCTGGCTGGAGTGTCTGCAGCATCATGGATGGTCACTCAGTATGAAGGGCTGACGGCAGCTCCTGCAGACCGGTTGGCATCTTGTGAGTCAGGCTCTCTCTTGAAATGCCACATCTGGTAGCAAGTCCACACAAATCATGATCAAAGCACTGGCTTAGGGGCTGGACATGGGCCACTCTGCTTCTAGATGTTTGGACTCTTACTTGTTTGTGTCTCTTCCAGTGTTTTTTCTACATTTTCTTTCTTGTATCTGTGGTTGTCGATCCTCTGCGTCTCTAACTCTTCTCCTGTGAGCGAAGCCTGTGTGTGTTTAACTGCAACAGACACAGTTTCGAATTGGCATTTGGAGGTAATGCTCTGTTTGGGGAGTAGAGAGATAGTGTCCAATCAAGAGGCTGAAGCCTGACACACAAACGAACAAACACTCGTGTGTGTGTGTGTGTGTGTGCAAAGCACACCCAGACAGAGTCGGTCAGTGACTCTGAACGACACTCAGTCCCACAGATATAACAGTGACAGATCGTTACAGGTAAGAGGCTGATGAGACCTGACAGGCAGTGATAGCCTTCAGTCAGAGCAACACATGTAACCACAGCACAGAGAACATTTGAACAGTAGCAGCTGAGGAACACACAGAACAAAGGTGCACACGTGTCGCACACTAAACAACAGGTGCGATCAGGTCAAGATACCAGAAGTGGTCCAATCATGAGCTGGTAATCAAATTCAAAACTACAGTTTAAACGGATACCTTCAAAATAAATCAGGCCAAAATAATCAGGGCCGACTCAGGGCCTCACTCGGTAAAGAACTTTTCTCTCCTTTCTGCCCAAAGACAGAATAATTACAGACTGTTACAGAGAGTGCTGTTCTCCACACGTGTGTTCAGTCGTTTCAGGACAGGATTTCATTTCATTTCCAATTATGGGCTCACGTTCTGGCTATAACTGACATTTTATTTGCCTTTAGTCCATTGCAGTTTCATTTACATGTATAATAAAAGTCTGGTTTTAGTTAATGTTACTGTCTTTAAAGCTGTGTTAAGGCACTGACTCGGACCGGCCACAGTGTCCACTCACAGCGGAGAACTACAGCAGTTTGTTGGAAGTGAAACAAGCGAAGCAACAAAGGAGAGCAAACACAGTGAGAACTCCTCTTCTAACATCTCCCTCTGGTCTTCTGCTCCCGCTGCATCTGTCACCTCCCCCACACTGCTTTGTTTTATTTTTATTCTTTTTAACTAGTCTCCCACACCTTCGTTATCCATCTTTTCTACATCTCTCCATTCTGCCCTGAGCTCGACTAAATATTACTGCTGCTCTGCCCCCCACACCCCCTCCCCCCGCTGTGAACTTAAACTCTCAATAGAACCACAGGATGAAATCGCAGACTCTGTTCCCTCTTTAATACACTGTATGTCTCACCAAACCATGGCATGTGATAGATTTTAATCTAAAATAAAACTAGACGCTGTATGAATAATGTGTGTGCAGTGATACATGTTTAAAAATAAAGAAGTTGAACATGTGAACAAATCAACCTCCTGACCGCTGCGTAATAAACAACAGGAAATGAATAGGATGATAATGTTGTGATGTTTTTATATCACAGATGTACTGGGTGTTAGGAGTTACAGCAGCAGCACTGATGAAGAAATTAGTAAATAAAACCACAATGTGAAATATGAGTCCATTTGTGAACCATGTACCTGGAGCAGTGTCTACGCAGCACATAGACTAACTCGGTAATGGTCTCATTTGGTTTGCAAAACATGTGATTTAATAAGGTTAATAGCCTTAACTTGGTGAGATTAACAAAGTTATTAAAACAAAACAAAATTGAGCCAAATTGGCTTTTTTTCCCTCTCATTTACTAAGTCAGTATTGGTAAAAAGGGTGAAATATTCACAACGAAGATGAAAAGAAATGATGTCTGATTCTTTATAAAGGTAAATACAAGGTTGACATTCAACAACCGTTGAATAGAACACAGTACTGCATTCATTCTGAAACTGTATGTAGCTCATACTATGTATTGATAGAGTATATGAACTGTGACTCATCCTGGTTGGAACACAACGATAAACTGACGTAATGTTTCACAGTTATCAGAGGCCAAGGAAAATCCAGGGAGCCTTAGCTTTAACCCACCACCAGTTCCCCTGAGGTCGCCTCGTCTCTTTTCTTATATTCAGACAAATAGCCATAGTTTTACCTTGACGTGTTTTGATGTTGACAGGTCAACCACGTCTCCGCCTGCCTAGTCACTGCTGGAGGAGTGACAGCAAAAAATGCCCTTTGACCCTGGTTCATTGTTGGTTTTGTATGATTTCTTACTGTATCCCCTCAGCCGCCTGTATCCGACACTGATGTTTTTGATTTTCTGTTTGTTATCTTAACTTTGTCCCGAATTACCTGTCTGTTTGTTCCTGTTTTCCCACTTGAAACTTTGAAGCTTTTTGAAAGCTCCAATGTTATTGTTTCTACTCCAGTTAAAGCCTAAAGTGAACAAAAAACATTAAACACATAGTTGGGTTCATCTAAAGCAAACCCTTAAAGTCCTCATCCTGTCCTCAGTGAGTCTAGACAAGGAAGAAAAAAAGGACTTTAATTGGAATTTGAAGCTTGACCTCCTGTCAGTTGCGACCTTTCGGAATCAAAATGTAGTTATTGCTGCTCACTTTCTCTCATTAATGTCTTTGTTGAGTCCTGATAACCAAAACTCTAGTCCTTAAGCTCTGACCTACCTCATTCATGCTGTGTTTCAGACCTCATAAAAGCTAAAAAAGAGTTTTATTTTTTAATTAAACCATGAAAATCTCTGCGTCAATAAATCCTCAGAGAACGCCACGTGGTTTTTCATTATTGTATGCTTTCAGTTCATGGCAAAGTAAAGTGCAATTGGTGCACTTTCATTCGCCATGAACAGAAAGCATAATATAACAGCATTGTGGACACCAAGAGAAGTTTCTGCTGCTGAATTAAAAAAAAAAGGAAAATTGTGATTCTTTCCTGAGGAACTTAAACAGGCAGCTTTGCTCTCTTTCGGCAACACTTTACATTGCTGTCACATTTTCCTGACACATTTACACCTGGAAGCAGGCCAGTAAAAACCACACAGAGAAACCTCACTGGGGTAGCTGGAAGTCAGGCAAACACACACTCGGTACTCACACTTTGCTGGCAGGCCATAGCCGCAGGTGATCTTGGCCTCCCCAGTCTCGCACCCGTGGAGGGAAGCACACTCCTTTTTTAGCACAGGACCTGCAGCACGATGGATGGCTCCGTCCACTGGAGAAGAGACGACAGGAGATTCAGAGTGTTGGCCTACTTGTGTGAATCCCCTGCTCTCTAACTACTTACAGGGAGTTGAAATGTTGTTTGAAGTCAAGCCGACATATTTAAAAGTGTCAAAGATTAGTGCTTCAGACTTTAGTCTGGTGTTGTACAGCTACCCTCTCTGTCTTAGCTATTTTGCAAAGTTTTTACCCCAGATCACGTTCCCCCAAAGCCTCAGTTTCCTGTGCAACAGTCGTTTTCATGCAGTTTAAGGCTACTGCAGAAGTTAATTGCTCCATTTAATGTATTAGGGACTCAGCTGACTCTGACTTTTTGGTCAATTAGTCTTTATTAATAACATTTTCATAAATCTACATATTATTTAGAAATGTGAGCATCATCTTTAATTCACACCACAACTATAAACTGTGACAGAGTTCATTTCCAGGAGGGCAGTGAAGCAGGAAAAGCAATTTTTCAGCTGTGCCAAATATAGTTTCAGTCAGAATATTTACCCGCTAGCAGCCAGACACATTTCCTCAGAGCTAATATTCATACAATCTTGATCTCAACAGCTTTAATATGATGACTCTGGGAGTAGCAGAGCAAAGAGAAAGGATTTGGACTCTAACTAAATCTGCCTTGAAACAAAAAAGAAAGATACTCTACAGAGAGGAGCAGAGGACAGAGAGAGAGATATATTTTTCACTGGGGATCCGTTAGGAAAGGTAAGGAAGAATGTATTTACTCACAACTGTATATTAAAGAGTGCGATCTATTGAACTGAACACACTAACATTTACACACTCAGCTCCTGAATGTTTCTTTTTTATGTCAGAGACAGATCAGTGTTGTGGTCAACTCTAAGTAAAAGAAGAATCCAATTAAACCAGGGAATTATTGCAGCGGTGTTACGGAGGTGCAGGTCGCGACCCTGTGTCCTTTCTATTTTCTTTAGCCACGATGGTTAAAAACAGAGTCTCTTCTTTTTGTTTGACATTTTTTAAATGGATGTTTCTAGTTTACCAAGCACACGGTAACATTTTACTGGAATGATTACGGTTACAACTTGAACTTGACCCGGTGACTGAGACTGTAGGGTCACCAGCAACATGTCATGTTTATAATATGCTATAAATATGTAAAGAGTAAAACACACTTATCTAACACTAGAGTGGTTTATCAATACAAACTAAGTCACCTTGAAGCGAGAATGCATCACCTGTTCTTACTGTACTGTATATCAAGTACATGTATGTGCTGTATATCTAACAGAGTACTGCACATTCACAGTTGTACATCAGCATATTCTTATAATGTGCAAATAGTTCACTATATTCTGATATAACATTACCGATCAACACTTGTTTTCCTCCCTAAATGTCATTGGCAAAACTAATTAGCATATAGCACTAGAATATAAATGTCATTTCACCGGGAGAAATGTAAAACACTGTGTCGATTTAAATAACCCCGTCCAACTAGGCCTTCGTTCCAGAAGAACACTGAGGTCTAATGAGTCTGGTGAACACAGTTCATAAATAAACCAGTCCCTGACTGAAAACACTTTTGTCAGGCATGATTCTACCACAGTGCTCAGAGACTTGTCAGCACTTGGTAGGAATAGTACAACAACACCCATCCGTATGTCACAGCTCAGCGTGTCGGCCTCTGGCTCTTATCTGTGACTGTATGTGGACCAGATGTTACAGCAGCACACTTTGCCAAACTCAGGGCTGTGCTGTGACTGTATGCTATTGTGTTAAGTTGGTGCATAACATGCAGAGCTGAGATGTACTGTGCCATGGCATGCTGTGCAATGTTGAGCTGGGCTGTTTTGCACAAAATGTGAGAATGTGAAGGTGAAGTCTAAGTGCTAACCCATTCTCTGAGGACAGAAAAGTTTCTGTATTTGTAAAAAAACAAACAAAAACATGTGGTTTAAAAACTTTTGGTCTGGTGTGAGAATGTTGCTTTTTTGAGCCCAAACACTTTGAGGTTTATACTGTGACTGTCCTAACATTTATTAACAACCTAATCAAGATTCAATGACAATTCCACAAATATAGGTTTGAGTCTTCTGACTGTAATCAATGAACATTCTAGAAAAACACCAAAAGTGAGGCCTAGAACTAATGATTAATTTTCTTCAGAAAAGAACCTTTCTTCTATAGTCAAAACCCAAGCTAGATCTCCCCCGCCCTCCCCCTCCCTCTCTCCAAGTGTCCTGAATTGTGCTCATGTTGGTGTTGAGAATCGCTTGATTTTGACACTTGAGGAGGAGCAACATTGTTAAGTTGTTGTTGTTATGGTGTCTGCACCTTAACAATAGAGTTGTTCAAGAGTTCTGTCTGATCAGTATAGTGTTTGATTTTAAACACACGAGTGTGACTGGACTTTTACCTCAGCTCGAATATTGACATAATGTGCTTTGATTGGCCAGGCTTGTTCTGTCGCCTGGAAAATTGAACATTTCTCAACTTCTGCCACACACTACCAATCAAAGAACAGATCCATAATGCAGTGTGGCCATGCCTGACACTGTTGACGCCTCTGCCGTCTGTGAGTGGTGCATCCATTTTATAACTCATGCCGGCCCTTAAAAGTGCACACAGGCAGACACATAAGAGTGATAAGACAGAGATGGGAAATGAAGGTGTGGGAGAAGAGGAGGGGGGAGAGTCTGAAGGTACATGAGAAATAAAATTGGAAATGCAGAAATGGAGCTGAGCTTTGAAAGAAAGAAAAAATATTTGGTTCTAAAACCCGGTTCAATATGGAAAAAAACAAAACAAATTTAATCGAAGAATAATGTGATGATGTGAATTATGGCCATGGTAAAACTCAGTGTTAGGTAATAAAAAACATCTTCATTGAAGGTTAAGGATGCAGTTCGAGAAAGGCTGTCCAAATAAATGGAACACTGTGCTGAGTACTAACAAGAACAGTCCAGCTTTTCTTGCATATTCGAGTGTGCTATGTGTCTATACCCTTGTGCGAGTGTGTAGTGGTAAAAACTGGCCATTTTGCCCATTATTTATGAGTGGACAGCACAGCCTTGAGCTACAGCGATGCTTTTGACCTGACGGTCCCACACAAAATGACCGCTGGCAAGTGCTGCTGAAAAACAAACAAAAAGGATCCCATCACCAGGGACCTGCATTATTTACTGTACGTATGCATGTGAGCACGTAGAGCAGGGCCGAGAGAAACCACTCCAATAATGATTCCATGCAAATTAAAGCAGGAAATTCACTTAGGAGGTTAATAAAACTAGTAAAGTCGTATGACCATAAAATGTCTGAACGCTAATTCATGTGATGCCATTACTCTGATTAATGTGTTGTTTGTCTAATTTACTGTGGCATCGGTGGGGATCCAGAAAGTGACTGGGCCACCTCTGGTGCCAAGGTAATTGGTTGGCTTATTAGCATCACAGATGGATTACTGAATAGACCACCAAGCCTTGAGACTCATGGATGAAGTCATAACAATTCATCAGAAAATATTAACCACAGAGAAAAGATAAAGATTTGAACCAAGTTGTGTAAAGAGGCAACAAATGTGCAACAATGTTGCAACTTAAGATAAACATTAAAACAAAAATACAGTATGTCCTGGCCAGAGGGGGTGGAAACATGGTGTCTAAAATAAGACAAATCATCCCAAACCAATTGCAGATTTATACCCATAACTCCATGCTTAATACCTTTCTATAGATAATGCATTTGAGGCGGTGAACAAACCCAGGCTCCAGCTAACACAGCCTGTCCTTTCAACTGCAAATAATGCCATTTTGACAACACACAAGGATGCATTCGCTTTCACTTGAATCATTCGTGGTGCGTTCAGATGAGAAGCCCTTTGATGTTCTCATGTTTGAGTTGGACTGCTCTTTGTCAAATGGAGATTAGAGGAGGACATTAGGCTCCATCACTCTCTCGTTCTGCGGCCTAAACCCGCTGAGCTTGGCTAATAAATATCCGATGCCTCGTTCAGCCCGTCATTGACTCTCACTCAGAGCTGTCTTTCTGTCTACAGTCAGCGTGGACGGCCTCAGTGTTAGCTTTCTCAGAAACCGTGGAATCCTCAGTATGTGCCAGAGTCGGTGTAAAAAACCCAGCAGGAACATCAACTTCTAGTTAGATTCAGACACCTTTTCATCACATAAATGCGAACCAAAAGTATCGAGTGTGACCTCATGTGCAGCAGTGGAGCAGAGAAGAAGGATTCATCTGAGGGAACTCTGTGGCAGCAGTTCATCTTTAGCACACCTGTATATTAGCGCTCTGGGGCAGCCTGCGACTGAATGTATCAATATTATCTATTATGTCATCTGCTGAACTGAATTAGAGTCCATCTGGTCAGGCTGCCAAGAGCAGAATGACTGCATTTTTAATCCCTCATTCAATATTTATCTTCATGGGATAAATATTTTAAAAGGGAGAATTAAGAATTTCCCTCATTCATGGCTACAGCGTCACTCCTACTGTGGGTGCAGTAAAAGTGACGACGTTAATCCTTTTTCCTCTGACACTGGTGTGAGCGTGCCATGACTGTGACTGTGTGTGTGTAGTCAAAACAGTGGTTACAACACCTAGTAGGGCTGAGCAGATTAATGCCATAATCACATTAACAGGTTCATGCATTCATTAAGGCCAGTGATCACTGTATCATGTTCTTTCAACATGTTGAAAGAACAGATTCAACATGTGAACCCTAACACCAACACCAACCCTGGAGTTAAACCTCAGCAATAACATGCTGGGTATAGAGATGACATGGACTTGGAATGGAAACAATCATGTATCGACTTTTCTACTCCTGCACCAAAATGAATGGAAGGAGGAGTTATTAGCGTGTCATTCTGCCCTTGTCAACATTTTTCAATCGGATTACTTTCACAAATTCATCAACACGTTTGACACGTTAATCTTTAAAACCCGATTAAAACTTATTTTTCATCTGCACCTGTGCAAAACAATGTGTCTTTGGATGTTGTTAAGGTCAAA